AAAAATCAAATGGTCCGCCCCTAAAAGTAAAAAAAAAATGTGCATTTAAGGCCCCGTTTACACTATACCGGATTACTTTTCATACCGGATTAATTTTTACTCCGAAGTGAAAAACAAGGGTGTTTACACTATGCCGCTTCGCTCTGTTGCCAGCTCATGTCTTTCACTGTCGCCATGTCGCTCATGTCTTTCACTGTCGCCATATACCAAAATTTATTAAAAACAAAAAGTGTTTTGACACTTTAATAGAACTGCATAATACATGCTAATTATTTAATATTTAATTATGTTAATTTTGGTCACGTGTTGTTTGTTTTAATCATACGATCGAAAGTCGAGGACAAAAGGGAACAACAACTATTTTGACAGCCAAATAATACGATAAAAATGTATTAAACCTTGTATGAAATAAACCTTAGAACATTGTCCGTGTCTTTGTGTTGCGAAGAGTTCACAACAGTCAAAATAGTTTGATTAATAGAGCGAAATGGGAAGTTATTTTGGGCGAAATATGCCAGATCAATAACAATTCCGAACGCGTTCGAGTAGTGACACGCTAGAAAACAAAGACATCGAGTGTTAAAGATCGCATCAACGATGGTTAAAATTGAAGAGTTAAATCGGAAGAGAAGTTCGGCGAAGAAAAAGTTCGACGACGAGGTAAAAAGCTTCGAATTTGTGCTAGAAGCTCGCCCGGAAATACATAGTCTTGAAGAGGCTTTTGGCGAAGTCAAGGTAAAATATAAAGCTGTAAGAGTAATACATGATGGAATTACTGACTTAATGGTCGAAGCTGACATTGAGGAAGCCGATTTTACAAACCATGATATTTTTATTACGGAAATCATTGCAAAATATGGCGATTTACTCTCAAAGTTAGAACAATATCGACGAAAATGTGAAGTAGATCAAACATCAAAGGGACTACCGACCGAAATGGAACCCAAACAACAGAGGTCTAATCTGGAGAGAATCAAGGTACCACAATTTTCTGGAAACATTAAAAATTATCGAACATGGAAAAGAATTTTCGAGGACACTATGAAGAGAAATCATGAAAATGAAGGAAGTCAACTTGCAAGATTGATCGAAGCTATCCAACCCCCCCTGAGATATGAAATTGAATGTTTTACTACAACTAAAGCGATATGGGAATTTCTCGACAAGTTATTTGGAGACGACAAAGAGTTGATTAAAATTTTGATGAATGATATCAAAACAATGAAACCCTTGAAGGTCAAAGATGCAAAGTCGATTCGGAATTTGGTCGCAACAGTTCGTGGGTTTATTCTCAGAATGGAGGATGTTGGAGCATCTGACGAAGCCAAAAGTAGATATGTGTTTGCTGATATTCTGACGGTAGAAGATCAAAGAGCTTATGCACGGAGTATGATTGATACAAAGAAAATTGAAAGCCTGCACACCTTGTTGGAATACCTAGAAGAAGAGGCAAAAATAATGGCAAGTAGTCAATCGGATCAACGCTCTTCAAAAATTGGGATTTATCCAGTTAATGTGGACGGTGGTTACAATGGTGGTTACAATTGTGGTTTGGGTTGTTCCCAACAACATGGTTTAGGTTATTGTCCAGCATTTAAGAAGATGAAAGTGAAGGAAAAGTGGGAAGTGGTGATTCAGTCCAAGAGATGTAAAAAATGTCTGCGAACTGGACACCGACACCAACAGTGTTCGCGAAAGGCATGTGATATCAACAGTTGTGGAAGACCACATCATTACCTATTGCATAAAGATCCAAAACAAGTGGACAATGGCAATCTGAACCCTGATGCACAACCATTCAAACCAGATCAAGAAGGAGCTACAGGCACGGGAAAGTCCAATCAGGTTGGTGCTATTTCAGCTGGTAATGCAGGAACTGCAAATGTACCAACTCAAAAAGTCAAGGTGCACAGTGCCAATGGGAACTCTATTGAGGGACTTGCCATGGTTGATAGTGGTTCTAATAAGAGTCTCATTCGGAAAGAGTTTGCGGACAAGCTCGGTTTGGTCGGAGAAACAAAAAAGATGAAGATGTATGTTGCAGGCGGTGGAATTAGAGTTGAAGATTCTGCTGAGTTTGATTTAAAGATATCGCCCTGTTATGATGAAGATATTGTATTCAATGTGAGAGCTTATTCAGTCAAGAAACCGTGCCAAGCAGCTAAAACTGTTTCAAAGAAAGCGGTAGTCAGATTTCCTCACCTTGTTCGAATTGTAGAAGATCTACATTTGAATGGCGGTCCAGTGGACATTCTATTGGGAACAGATCTACCGGAAGCCCATCGTGATTTTAAAGTTCTGGCGGGTAACCCTGGTGAACCGATTGCAAAGAAGAACATCTTTGGCTGGTCGGTCCTTGGTAATCTTGAAGAGAATAGTACGCCTGGAATTTTTGCTGTCGAAACCATTGACGACATAACAAAGGACCAGGACATAAAGAAATTGACTTTCCAAGATCAATTAGGAATCAAACCAACTGGTCACTGTACATGCTCTGAGAAGGAAATGCGAGAATGTGCATTCATTCGACATGTTCGGGAGTCTACTAGAGTTTTGGATGATGGAAGAATTGAAGTAAGAATGCCTTGGAAACCAGGACATCCCAATCTACCTAACAACCGGTCTATCGCCTTCGAACGAATGGTGTCGAAAGAAAGGCAGCTGGTAAAGAAAGGAAAGTTGGAGGCGTTTACAAGGAAGTAAAAGCTTTGGTCGACAGGGAAGTGGTCATTAAGCTGAAACAAGAGGAAGTAGACCCAGAGGAGCCGGCTTGGTATCTACCGATTGGAGAAGTGGAAAGTCCCGACAAGACTACCAAGTGCAGATTAGTTTTCGATGCAGCAGCCAAAATGGACGGACTTTCCCTCGATGATGCTCTTGAAAAAGGACCATGTCTTATAAATTCCTTATTTGATGTGTTGATTGGCTGGAGACAGAATGGAGTCACCTTTGCTGGAGACGACTCGAAGATGTTTAATGAGATAGCTATCCATCCGGATGATCAGAAATACCACAGATTCTTGTGGAGAGACGGAGAAACTGACAGAGAGCCTGCCATGAATGCCATTAATCTTCTCGCTGATAGAGCTCAAGTCAAATCACCAGAAGCAGCAAGAATCCTAAAGGATAATACTTATGTTGATGACGTCGCGGGGTCGGAGACATCACCAGAGAAAGTCAAGAAAGTGGTCGATGGTATCGATACCATTTTGGGCAAAGGCAAGTTTGCCATCAAAGCGTGGCACAGCAACAGCCCAGAGATTGATCAAGATGGCAACGAGAATCCGGTGAGTCTACTGGGTCATCAATGGAACATGAAAGCTGATAGCATTGCTTTGAAGAGCGAGACAGTGTATACAGATCTCAGTTATTGTACGAAACGAAAGGCTCTTGGTGTGGTGTCTCAACTGTGGGATCTGCTAGGACTGATGGCGCCAGTTACAATTCGGTTTCGAATTGATCTCCAGAATCTATATCAGTGGGATGAGTTATTGCCACCTGAAGAAAAGTTAAAATGGCAAAAGAATGTCGGAGTTGGTGATCTTGTATTAGAAATCGATGGGAATCGCAAGAGAGGTGAGTGGCAAATGGCGTTGGTGGAAGAAGTATTTCCTGGTGGTGATCGTAAAGCAAAGATCAGAACGTCGAAGGGAGTCTACGAAAGACCCATAGCGAAGTTATGCTTAATTGCAACCCGAAAAGAGCTTGAGCAGAATGAAACTTTAGTACAACATAGTTAAAAAACACTGAAAAGACAGACATATAGACAGTAATTTCGTTGCTCAAACGTTGAGCTGTTAACGTTTTCCGCACTGGGGAGGAGTGTTTTGACACTTTAATAGAACTGCATAATGCATGCTAATTATTTAATATTTAATTAGGTTAATTTTGGTCACGTGTTGTTTGTTTTAATCATACGATCGAAAGTCGAGGACAAAAGGGAACAACAACTATTTTGACAGCCAAATAATACGATAAAAATTTATTAAACCTTGTATGAAATAAACCTTAGAACATTGTCCGTGTCTTTGTGTTGCGAAGAGTTCACAACAAAAAGTAACACCCGTTTTCTTTGTAAAGTATAGCTTTGTTTAAAAAGCTTGACCACCAGACGTTGCTTCGTTTCGCTCTAATCCAAAATTGACGAGTATTTCTTTAAATTTTGCTCTTTCGAAAGCGAAAAGTCAATGTTATTATTGTTTTCTTTATTTGTTTTCGACAGAAATAGTAAATGGTTGTAAGGCGAAACAAACAACAGCTATAAAGTATTGTAAAAGCGAGCAAATAAAGGCGACAATGTTAAAACATACACGCCAAAATCGATTTTGTACCAAAGCGTACCGGATTAGCCTGTTTACACTGCTCCGGCACATAACGGATTACTTTTCATATCACCTCCAAAGCGGAGTGATTTTTGCTCCGCGTTGCGTACTGGATTACTGTGGCGTAGTGTAATCCGGTATAGTGTAACGGGGCCTAAGTTTTGGCTATCTTTACACCCGTTTTCAAAATTACGCGGCCTCCCTGAAAATTTACTCTTACTTCAAATGTCAATTTTATGTCACAAAAACTGCTAAAAATAGCAAACGTAAACAAACGATCTTGTCTAAAAGTACACACGAGTGACCACCGGAGTGACCACGAATGACCACGAGTGACCACGAATGACCACGAGTGACCACGAATGACCACGAGTGACCACGAGTGATTCTGTGTTTAAAAGTCATAAAATAATAATAAAAAAACTATTTTAAGGTGGCTCCATAGGGTTTTTGCATTATACTACACTTTTGTATCCAGAAAACTCTTGTTTCTTCACTTTACATGACACGAAGACGAAATTTATTGGACACATTGACAATGCTCTCCTGAACATTGCAATGTGCTACTTTTGTGCTGAAAGTCCGTTACCATGGCAACAGCGTTCTTAGGATAAGGCTCAAAATTTGTCTTTTTTCGGCCATTTCAAAAATCCCTTCGGGAAACTTTTTTTAGTTTTTCGACTATTGTACACAGCGTTGCCAAGTCCGGAATTTTATCCCGAGATCTCGGGATTTTTTGAAGCAGACTTTTTGGGATTTTTATTTGAAAAAGTCATTCTGGGAATTTTTTTCTAATTTTCAGAAAGGGAAGTTCGAAGTTTAGAAATGGATTTTTTTGTAAAATTGACTAGAAATAAACAATTTTGCTAAAAATCTAGAGTTCGTCCGCTCGTATTTCAACCTTATTGAGTATTGGGCTGCATATTTGATGCAAAATTTCGTTTTTACAACATGACGTACGAGTGGTCTATTCTACCCGAAATTGGCGCGAAAACTACCTACAATCAGTTTCAAAAGTCTTGGGACAGATGCCACAAAACCTTTGAATTTCAACAAAACGTCAATCCCCCCGCCCCCTGTTCAATGTTGTGTCCCATTTCTCGTCAGGTTTGATGTGTTTTGGTTGGAGCAACATTGATTGGGGTGGGGGAGGGGGAGGGGAGCGGTATTGTGTGTAAAAAACTGTAATGATCCACTTACAATCTAAAACTACATGTGTCCCAACAACTTCTGAAAGTGATTGTCTGGGCCCCATATGCCATAACACCATTGTATATCTCAAAAGTACAGGGGATAGAATGCTCTGCGAACGAAGTATTTCTGCTCCATTTCGTTCACAGAAGATCTAATATAACATTTTAAAACAATTAAGTTCCATTAAAATTCTCAAAGTTAATAATTAACAGGATATGAATATAACTTGTTATGTCATATAGCATTCTTAATCGTTGTTTGTTTTTACAAATTTCGGCAGAGCACAAGTGGGTTATTTGAGAGGTTATATAGTCCGTCAATATAAAGATAGGTATCGCGAATGTTTTACGCTAGATATGTCACACTTACTGTTAATTTATAGCATAGTAATATAACATCCGGTTACTTTCGCATGCGGGTAACGGCTGAGTCAACTGCTAATTCGGGTACTCCGAAGGTAAAGAACGTTTGCTTTATAATCACTTATGGTCAATGTGACATTTCACATCTTTCTAGAGCACAATTTGCAGATATAATTATCGACGCATGGGTAGGAAGGAGCACTAAGTAGGTGGGAATGTCGGAGGCTCATGGAATGGGCGGTAGTCACCTCCACACGGCAAAACAAATTGTCCACAAGATCGAGGTGGCGAGCTATCGGAAGCTCGAGAAGAGTAAATGTGGCATTTAATTGAACCTTTCCGCAGACAATCTCAAAAATTACTATTCAGCGTATTCGTACGTGGTAAAGGAAGACCCGGAATATGTTGACAAGGTCCGTGATTGTACACGTTGGATAGCTCCTTGCCTTGCTCCTTTTTCTTCTATGTCATAAAGCTTGCTGGGAAGTCAAGCGGTTGGCGATATACGGTTGCGATGTACGGCTATTTCCGCGTCTTTCTCGTTTGAATAAAGAGCTCTGAGTCTCTGACGAGTCAAGAGATCAACAAGTTATTTTGTTGGTTTATATATTTTCTCGTATTTAATATAACGCCATACAATGATACAAAGACCGCTTCTGTTTAATTAAGAGGACATTTTTTACAAAATCGCGTATTTTTTGTGCAAAGCGCTCAAAACTTAGCGACCAGGCCTTCCCTAAAATCCTGCCCCGCCATCTTGGTTTTAAAAATTTCCCAAAATTTGCGAAGACAAATAACAGAATTTTACTGGATTTTTGGCTGTGTCACGAGGCAAAACATTGCCAAATATAAAGAAAGATAACATGGTAAGTGTAATATCGTATTTAGTAGCTGTTATTTAAATTATTATTATGTAAATATGCACATGTATCGGACTCAGGAGTGACCATTTCATTCAAAGAGGCCATCTATATTTACTGATTAAAAGTGTCTGCTTTC